TCGAGCGGGGTGAACAGGAACACTTACCTTCTGCGGAAGCTGCTGCTGAGCACTCTGCTGCTGTTGCATGACCTTGGGAATAGCAGCCGAGGGTTCCTGTGCTTTACCCTCCTTGAACTCGCTGACTTTGTGCCGGTAGTATGCATGGTAAGGATCGTTGGGGTTCAAGAAATTGAACTTCGGGTTATTTATTTCATTCTGACGAATTCGAGCTTCAAATTCTGGACCATTTCTGGCGAGAAAAAAGATAATTTGTTTAGATGAACGGCATCAATCAGTAATGTCAGTCTCTTTCACAGTCAGATCTGTTGAGGCATCAGCCCCTCAGAAGACAATTTTCTCTCCCACATGGAAGGAGTTTACCTCTCTCTCGGAAACTCAGACCCAACGCAGGAGCCAGCTGTACCCAGGCAAGTTAAAGGCATTTGTCCTAATTTAATCTATAACGCTTCACAGTGAATATTTGAGTTAAAAACTTTCACAAGTGTTCCACAGTTTCATTTGGCTACGCACAAACATAAAATGATTCACTGGATTACACCATTTATTGGATGACTTTTACAAGTTACCTACTAGCAAATTTTAATTTGGTCTATTAACAAGCTTTTAAGACTTTTTCCAGAAAGTTCACATATGGAAAAAAGTAAGTAACCACCAGCTTGTGCAGTGATTGACTGCACTGGAGGGTTGCATTTAGGAGAGCCCTAAGTTTTAGTTCAGGTAACACCCATTCCTCCCGTGCAAAGTGTACAACCACTTATTTCAGGGTAGTTTGAGAAATTTAAGAGCTGCTGTAGCATGTTTCACTTCATATTCTCTGGATGCCTCCAAGTCTTGTTTAGACACTCCGCCTCTTCCAAAAGGAGGCCTCTACAATACCAAAGGATAAACACAGCTCCTTCCTTATCCTCTGAGGAAGTGAGCACTCCTTGGCAGCGTTTTAGAGATCAGTTACACAATAAGTGTCTTTGACTAGAGCAGCATTTAGTAATTGTCTTAAACCCACAGCAACAATCATCCCGTTTTAGCGAGGTGAAAGTATGCAGCTTTCAGCCCGCCTGGATGCCACGAAAGCGAAGAATTTGTGCAGCCAGCTGAGGGGTATTTACCTTCCGTGCTACTTGTACACTGCAGGAAGAGCTGGATCTGGCCGCCTGAGACCTCACATAAAGATAAGAGAGCCAGAAGTACTTAAGGATTAAAAAACAACAGAAGAAGATGGCCTACATAGCACTAACAGCTTGCACTTGCAGAACAATGACACTAGGCAAATGGAAGAAGTCCAAATGAGTAAGATTTATTCTTACTTTTAGACTCCTTCCCTAAAATTGACATCTATACTCATGCTAATCAATCTACTACAGTCAACAGGGGAAAAAAATTCAATACACATCATGGGCATCTCATCTCTCCGAAGAGAGGCTCAGACTGTGCTCTGGAGGAACCCACTTCTCTCCCTCTGGCTGTCAAGGGAGAGAGGAGGGAGGTTTGAAGGAACACACCCCGCAGCCACTGGCTCACCAAGCTGTGCCAAACTGGGGACAGGACCTACCCTCAGAGCTCAGCAAGCAAGTGAGCACCCTCGTGTTGGGAAGTTCAACACCTACCATGTGTCCACACACTGTAAAACACAGTCATGACTCCTCCTGGCTCCATCACTCACGGAGCACCTGCCTGGAATTTTGTTTCCCCTTCAGATCATTCACAACAGGAGCTGTTACCTCGTTACTGAGCGCACACTATAGATTTTGCCACGGACTTTATTTCATTCGTTACCACAGTTTTTCTAGCAAAGTCTGTCCTCCTCTTTAGTAGAATATTGTTGTCTCTTTTCCACAGTCTCACCGGTATAGACTCAATCCCTCAATCCCTACAACCCTTCACATACAGTCACAGGACACTGACCTGCTTCAGCTCCTGGAGCTGCACAGACATTAGCACTGAAGAGGAGAAGCATGAAAACCCCAGGAAACAAGAGACAACACCAGTGTCATTTACCTGGCTACGAAGCTGGCAGTCTTGTCCACAATATTCCTGACCTCTGGAGGAGGATAGATAATTCCTACCACAGGCTTGGCCGGTGCTGCTTCTTCTTTTGGTTCCTCTTCCGGCTGTAATAAAAATGTATTTATACACATATATACAGTCCCCTGTACTGCTGCCTCACAACTAGAGACATTACTCAAGAGGTGAAGAGGTGGTGGTGCAGGAAGACCACCTTTCATCGTGGCGTTTGCAGTCAGTCAAGATACTAAATTCAAATAGCCCACATCAAAGCTGAAAACAAGAGAAGGAACTTAAAATAATACTGAGTAATGTGCTATACACCAGCATCAGGGGGTGAAAAATAGCCCAGTGGGCTGCAAACCCAGACTAGGCTTATTTTCAGGTGATTGAGTAGGAAAATTCATCTCCCTTCTCTCTCAACTTCCTCATCTACATTGGGAGTAACAATCCTAAGAGACCTTAACAAGTTGTTCTGCAATCCCATGCTTAACAAACGCTGTGTAAGAATTAAGTGTTATAAACAGCAATTCAAATGGCACACAGGACCATTTATCCTCCTCCTCAGCTCACAATTCATTGAATTTTTCCTGACACAAAGATCTGGTTTAACAATCTGAACCACCCGTCCCACAAACGAATTCCGCGGCTTCTCAGGGTGGGAGACGCTGTTTGTCGGCCCGTCAAGGGCACCCGCCGCGGGGGCGGGCACGGCAAGGCCACGAGGAAGGGCCCTCCATGGGAACCAAAACAAGCCCTCCCAGCATTTGTACTATCTCAGCCTTGACCTCCAGTAGGTTTATAAACGCCGAGCCAAAAGGCAGCGTAGGGGAACGGCTGTAACAACACATCCAGGAATAACTCCGGGTTGCGAAACAGGCTGGGAGGTTATGAACATTCCTCGTGGCCTGTGGGACTGCAAGAAACAAGAATCTGAGTAACTGCACATTAAATAAAACATAGTGTTTAATCCTATTGTGGTTGCATCAAAAGCTGTTTTGTAGACAGAAGCTCTATTGGGCATTTTTCTCACTGATGTTATAGGAGGATCCAAACTCCAACATCCCAGAAACCTCCCTGTGGATGGCTTTGTCTTCCACTAAGACCAGAAGCTGCTCTTTGCAGGACACTAAAGATGTGGCTCCTCTTTCCTCAACAAGTAACTTTGAGCAAGAAAAGCTGTTATAGAAGAGAAGATGTCTATGAGAACTGTTTATAACCTTAATAAGGACAATCAGGGAAATTTTAAAATACCCATAATGCTACTAGCTCTGCAAATCCATTGGGTTTCAAGGCAGAAGACACTTGGGTTAACTACAACCTTAATAAAATGCATTAAGAGAAAAGCAGCATCAATATTTTTAGGTTTAATTCCCACTCCCTCTGAACAGCATCATCTCGAGGACCTGAAGAATAAGGCAAGACCACACTTGAGAGATGTTTTTATTTAACCATGATGCTGAGTGGTCTTGTTAACTTCTGTGCATGAAAGTCACTGGGGTTTTTTTGGGTTTTTTTTTTTTTTTTTTTT